ACATAATTGTCTACATTGAAAATTTCAAAAAATCTACACAAAAGCTCCTAGAACTAACAAATGAGTTTACCAGTGTCACAGGATACAAGGTACACACACACACACACACACAAAATCATTGGTTTTCTTCTATTCTACCAATGAATGAGTTTTAATTATGTTTCTAATTTTTCGTATTTTATGATATGTTGACATCTCGGGGGCCTTGTTGGCTAGGGAGAAACTGCCTCTCAGGGTTTGCTGATTCCTAGAGATAGCAAACAGCTCGCCTATGAGCCCACCGTTCATATGGAGACCAACCAATCCTGAGTCCATACTCCCAACCACCACCTTTAGCTAATTCTCACACACCAAGCCAGCATTTTCCTTGCCCTAAGTCTTCCCAGAGCCAAGTACAACTAGAGGCTACCCTCTAGCCTGGAGACTCTGAAAGTATTCAAACTATTAAATTCTGAACGTGCTCAAACTTTCCTACCCTGCCTCACCAATTCCTTCCCACAGGATACAAACTAAAAGCTCTGAGCCCTGTTCTCCCATGGTCTCTTCTGCCTCCTGACTGGCCCCAGGTGCTCCCCATGTGGTCCTGTGGGGCCTTCTGTTTCTGGGGATCTGTGAATATTAAATTCTCCCTTCATGACAATCGTTTCCATGTCTGCATGTCTGTATGTCCATATCGGACGAGAACAAATCCCAGGTACAATTTAATACAAAGTGAAATTCAAAATTAAATATGTTTTACAGGAGTACCAAAAAACCGAATTCTTAGATATATATCTAATAAAATATGTGTAAATTCTATATGCTGAAAACGTCAACTCCTGATGAAATAAATCAAAGAAAACCTAAATAAATGCAGAGATATACTAAGTTTATGGATTGGAAGGTGTTAATAAATTGGAAGATTGTTAAAATGTAAATTCTTCTGAAATCGATCTATAAATTTAACACAATCACAATTATCAGCAGGAATATTTTTGTAGATATTAACATTCTTAAATTTACATGAAAAGGCAAAGAAATGAAAATAGCCAAAGTAATCTTGAAAAAGGACAGAACGGGAGGACTCCCACTACCTGACTGCAAAACAGCATAAATCTGTGTAATCGAGGTAGTGTAGTATCGGCAAAAGGATAAACACACAGAGCAGTGGCATAAAATAGAGAATTCAGAAAGAGACGCCTATAAATACGGCCAATTGATTGTTGAAAAGTTTCAAAAGCAATTCCATCAAGAAAATATAATCTTTTCAATAAATGTGCTGGAATAATTGGACATCCAATATGCAAAACAAGCCAACAAATACAAAAATCACAACCCATACCTCTTATCTAAAAAATAATACTAAAAACCTTAGTGTAAAATGTAAAACCATAAAATTTGTAAGACAAAACATAAGCAAAACTCTTTGTAATCTTGGTTAGTCGGAAGAGTTCTTATATACGGTACCAAAAGCATGATCCATAAAAAAATAGTTGACAACTGAACTCCGTCAACCTTCGAAGTGTTTACTCTGTGAAGAAAACTACTAAGAGGATGAAAAGAGAAGCCACAGACTGGGAGGAAATATTCAGAAATCAGTGTCTCGCGAAGAAGTTGAATCTAGAACCTACATAGAACTCCCAAACATGAACAATACAAAAGCAAACAACCCGTTTAAAAGTGGGCAAAAGTTTTGAGCAGCCACTTCACTAAAAATTATGTTCAGATGGAAAATAAGCACAAAGGTAGATGCTTACCATCATCCGTCATCAGGAAAGCGCAAATTAAAACCACAATGAGATGCCACCACATGCCTATCCAAATGTCGACATTTCAATCAGACTGCAATGTTCTTGACCATGCCACAGACTTCTCTGCCTGCTTTCTGACCTTGTCACATTAATCTGGGATGCTCTTCCTGCACTCCCTTCACCTGCCACCTCCTATTGATCCTTTATGTCACAACTCTGGCACCAAGAAGTCTGTCCTTGCCCTCCAGCCCCTCCCTACGCACCTCTGGGCCTGGATTATGGCCTCTGCACTGCATGATGCTGGGACCTCTATTCTACTTAACACTGCACCTATCCAGTGTACAGAGCTTGCTTGTTTAATGAGAGGTTTTAATACCCTCGGCTCTGATCTCCATGAAGTCAGAGACTCTGTCTTCTCCAAGGTTATATCCCCAGAAATTAGCACATCTGAAAAATTGTTGAATGAATGACTGAATTCATATAAGAAAGTCCTATGCTCCTTCATGCAACCCAGCCTCTGCTTGACCCCCTGGCCCAGAGCACCCTAAGGTTTTCATAGCTTTCCAGAGAGTCCCTGCCACTCCCTGGCAATACGCAATGAGTTTATTCACCCTTCAAAATTAAAATCCTCTTTCCCCCAGTAGAGGAAGCCCTGGTTTCTCTAGGTAACTTGCTCAGCTGATCAAAGTTGGATACGCTAGACTCCACGTTAGCCTGAGCCTCAGGACCTAAGGTGTCCAAATGACAATCTTGCATTACCAGCTACAGTTTGATCCAGTGGAGAGAGACTGTGTGAGACCTCACCCCAGGAGCACAGCTTCCACAGCTCGGACCTTTTCCCGTCTTAGTTATAAACCATTCACTTCTGCTGTGACGGTGAAGGTCTGTTCCAGAAGATGAAGCCCATGATCAGCTGGAGTCATGGTTTTCTCAGCACTGTAGGGACCACTCGTCTTTACCTGAATGTGGGCTGAGATGCGCAGGCATGCCAGCCCCTCCCTGGGTCCTATGGGGCCCCAAGTTACAGAAGGTGGGGGACGAGGTTACAAGGGCATCATGGTAATATAGGCGTTTGTATAAGCCTCTCAAAATGCCCTCATCACCATATGCCATTATATAACATTAGGATGGGGGGCATTGAGACTGTGACTTATTATTATTATTGTATTTATAACAGTGTTTTGAGTGTATTAGAAACATACTAAATATGACTACTTAAATGAATGGCTTTAAAATTCATGTCAAGTCTGTTTCTTTCTCCATCAAATATTCTTGTCTTTAAGGTTAGGGCAGCTGACATCAGTGAACTCCAGATTCGAGATCGTCTACTCAAAATGAGATCTTAGGCACACTGTAAACCCCACACAGAGCTGTTTTTTTTTTTTTTTTTTCTTTGTAAGATGGGATAATACTACCCAGACTGCAGTGAGACTGTTGGGAATAAAAAGACAACACACGAGTCTGTATGTTGCCATTGCAGCTGGCATGTGGACTGTGCTTTGCCGTGAGTTTCTTTATCTACTCAGCATGTTCCAGTGGGAAACTTTGTGTGCTGCTACTTCAATATCGTTTGCCTTCGGTATAAAAAAGAAACTCCTCGGGGGAAAATAAGGCACACCTCAGGATTGTTACATCAATAACCTTTATGAGAGATGCTGACTTGTCAGGTCATCTCCATGATAGATGGAACAGAGAGAAAATCTCTCCGAGCCCAGTTGATGCTGCATCCCTGACAATAATGAGGTGAACATCCTGGCAATTAGTTGAAGTAAAGAATTATCCTTTACTGCGGTTCAGCGATACTGTGCTAATTTAGAAACCGTGGATGCTGGTTTATGCAAGAGTTTTTGTTTTCTTTCAAGTCTCCGGTTGGAAATAGCACACAGTTGGTTGCTGTTGCTGTTTACTGCCACAGCCTATCCAAGTCTATTCTCGGAGGGTTTTCTTCATATAGGAGTTGATGCTAATCCAAGTGTAAAATCTCCTGGAGAAACATGTGTCCAGCTTTCTGCGTGGATCATTAGCTGAGATTTGAAAAGTGGTCAGCTTTGAGCTCATCTGACCAGAAGACATGACTGTTGTTAAGCAAAAAAAAAAAAAAAAAAAAAGAAAAATATGAAAAGAAAAAGGAGCGGGGGAGGGTCTGTGGGGAAAGAACTGGGCACCTGGAGTGGAATAAGGAAAGGGAAGGGCTGTGCCTCCCTGCAGAAAGGCGCACAGCTGGTGAGGCTGCCTTCAAGTTGTCCAAGGTTTCCACTTCTGGAAAGTTCAAGCTGCGAGAGTGAAATCAATGCCGAGAGGCAGGTCAGTGAGATGAGAGACCCTGAGAAACCACCCCTCGGGCAATGACGTGGAAGGTGGCAGGAAACCTGGTTTTGGAAGATGTGTACTCAGGTCTTCAGTGAGTTCTGGAGTCAGGGTGACCCCTTTGTTTATTCTAAAGGAGGTCTGGGTTTGGGGTGTGGAAAAGAAGACAACTTCTCAGGATGTAAAAAATAGCTTATGTAGGGGTTGCTGGCAGGAGAATGGGAAGGCGTACACAAGCATTGAGAAGAATTCAGTTAGGTCATAGAATCGCAGACTATGGAGATTATGGGCATAGTGTGAACTATGTGTGAACACATGCAAGCCAAATATCGACCAAACGCACATGGATTTACATACTCGTAGCAGCCAGCAAACAACAGTGACCAGCATTTCACTTCTCTCTGCATCTCCGTTGGCTGTAGAAGGAGGGGTTTAGACTTCGCTTCCTTCTAGTTCTGGCATTCTGACACTGTGCAGTTTAATAGAAAACCTGGTTTGGAAGCCAGGTTTGCGTGACAATAGATATTCTGGGGTGATTTTTATCCTTTGCAGTTGCAATTACGATGTTTGTTCTGTGTGCTTGCTGTGTAAACACAGGAGGGAGCGCTGAAATTTGTCTCTGAGTGTTCCTAACTCTGTATAAGGTAGGCAAGGAAAGTGTGTATGACAGAGAGGCCAAGAACACCTGTCACAGGGCACCTGCCCAGGGTGTCTGTACTGCATTCTTTCTGAATACACTGCACACACACAACAGGGCCCACGAGCTGGGGCTGGGGCTGGATATGCCCAGGGCGCGCGCTGGGTGTCGGAAGGATGGGGCCGGCAGTAACAAGAATCAATATATATTTACGGCGGGGGCGGGGGTGCGCGGAGGCTGCAGGGCGGGGCAGCGCTAATGAGAGCAAGCCCGGCTTGTGGTTGGTTCTGGAGTCTGGTACCCACAGAGGAGCAGGCAGGGAGGGAGGGGATGCAGGCGGGAGGATAAAGCGATGAAGTGTGCTGCGTTACCGCGCATCAGGCGCCGTTGTTGGAGCCGGAACACGGTGCGTCTCTGACCGAACCCGCGGCTGCTCGCGCACACACTCACAGAGCCGCGCGCGCCACTCCGCCGGGGCCGTGGCCGTGGCCACCGCTCTCTCCCGGCGCCCGGCCGCCAGAGCGCCGCGACGGCAGGTGGTCACCCGGGTCTCCCCCAGCAAGTCCCCAGCGCCCAGTGCACTATGCAGGACACGTGCACCCCCCAGCTCTAACCTGCGCGCTGACGGGAGCATGATCTGTGCCCAGGCCGGGGCTGCCAAGGTAAGCGGGCGCCGTGCGGGGACATTGCCTGCCGCCCCTTCCCCCGCCCTTCTCTGGGCGGATTCCCCGCCGCTCGCGAGGTCCCGGCAGCGCCCTCCCTCCCCAGGGCCGGGATCCACCCTCCTCCCCACCCTCTCGCTTCTCCCGCGAGGTTCAATTGTCAGCCTAGGACGCGCCGCCGCCGGGGCCCGGTCGGCATCCCGGAGTGGCGACCCGGGCTTGGGTACATTGGGAGCACCCGGCCCTCCTGCGGGGCACGGAGAGAAACAAAGAAGCCCCCAAGCGGGTTTGCAGCGCCTCCCCCGCCCCTCAGCGCCCTCCCAGTGGCGAGGAGGTGTCAGGGGAGGGGGCGGAGAGACCTACGTAATCCCCCTTCCCAGCCCACACCCACCCCTTGTGAACCAAAGCCCTGGATTTGCGCTTCGTCTTGGGCTCGCTTTTGGACAATTGTGTCCCGGGCAATGCTGGTGGTTAGCCCGGAGAGCGCCCGCAGCCTCCCCACGAGCTCGCTGGTGCTCGCTTAAGGGGCGCGTGGCCGGGTCCGGCCCTTGCTCCCCTGGGTGGTGGCAGGCGGGAGGATGCGCGGCGTGGGTGCTCCCCCAGCGCCTCCCAGCTCTCGGCCGGCTGCGCCGCTCCGCCGGGCCTGCCACCGGAGTTTTAGCTGGAGCAGCCCGTCATGTCGCCTACCGTATTGCGACCTGCAGACAGGCAGGGAGGCAGCCGCTGGGAAAAAGGCGTCCGGTCCATTTTTGGCTGGAGGTGCGCTTCCTCCTACCCCTACATTCCCCGGCCGTGACAAAGCAGCAAAATCCGAGGGCTCGAACAATGTAGCCCCCCCCATGCCCGGCTCCAGGGCACTGTGGTGGCTCTGCCGCTTTGACGTCCCGGCCACGGCTGATTTTCGGAGTGTGGATGCGTGGTCTCTCTGTCTTGCACACAGAGGCTGGGCACCATAACTTCTTCCGTGCCGAATTTGAGCGCGTGGGGGGAGCTGGCAGGAACACAGGCTGCAGAGATGCCTGGCTTCCTGTGGGTCTGGGCACAGCGCGCCTCAGTCTGCATTGGGCTGACACCAGATAGCATGTGGGGATTTTCCTAGTTGCAGAGGATATTATTTGACGTCGCTGTAGTTCTGTGCTTACTTCTCTTGGGATCTGCAGTGGTGCAATTCTCCCTTGTTTTTACCCCCTCTCTTTGAAAAGATAACAATGCCGTGTTCAGCAGAAATGGATACAGGAAGAGCAACATAGTTCAAAAATTAAGGGAGGCATTTTCTTTCTTTTCCTGGGATTTAAACGCGATTTAGAAGGGCAGATGCCCTATCTGAAAAGGAGAGTCTTTAAAGACCCCGGCAGTCTTGTGGTCCAAGGCGTATCAAAGCAGGTGGCCAGATCTGCGTTTCTCATCTGCGGACTCGCTCCGGCTGTGACTATTACGGTAATTCATTCTAGATTGGGGATTCATTTTGAAAATGTGTGTTTTCCACTAAGAAGGGATTAGAGTCCACATGCCTACCCTGGTATGAATGTGTGTGCCTGTTTCGTAGAGATGGTAGAATTCCCTGTTGCCTGTTCCCTCCGTTTGCTACCTCCTCGGGAATGTGTGTTGGAAAAACAAAGCACTACTTTAATTCCTAGACCTACAGGCAAATTGGTCCGAGTATTTTGAGCATTTGTTTAATAAGCCATGTTCTGACTAATTCCACACTAGAATCCCAGTCTAGTGCAGTTGGCTGCTTTGCGGAATGACAATTCTCTTTTTGTCTGGGGTTTTTCATGAAGGCAAATTGCCTAAGTTTGTTCAGATTGTGACATTATTGACTTGGTAGGGAGGCCACATCCTGAGCTGGACCAGCCTATCAGTGCATCAGTACAAAGGACTGCAGCTGCTCTTATTTTGGTGTATATGGCATCATTTGGCTTGATTCCTTTTACACTTCTGGCTTTTAAAGATGGGTGTACTAAAAGATCACTTTAAGCTTTACCTTCTATGATGCTTGCATCAGATATGACTATATGAAGGAAATATTAAAAGGCCAGATGTGACCATGGGAAGACAAGCCTCAGTCTTGTTCCTTATCTGTAAAGTAAGTTGGACTAGCTGATTTCTGTGGTTCTAGCATTCTGTCATAACTGATACAGGAATAAGAGAAGTTACTCAGTTTAGAAAAGGCAAATAATTATAGCCCAAATTATATAAGCAAACCAAGGATGGATTATAGAATTTATGGTTTATTTTATGTTATAACCCCAGTATTTGCATTTTTCCCATAAATAAAATTAGCCAGCAACTCAAACAGGTCATTTTTTGTCCATGATAGCAAAACATTTGGTCAGGGGTTGGGGAGAAGAGGAGAATGTTGAATTCAATGGATAACAGGGTTTTTTCCTTATTTGTGGATTTAGTTATTCATTCCAACCCTGTCTCAGATAAACAAGAATTAGCTTAATTCCAATGATTGATTTTTTTTTTGTTTCTAATGAAAGATTCTAGATAGCTGTTTCATCCTATGCAGTAATTGGCAATAGCATTAGACTTACTTTCCCTGATATAGTTTGGTGTTGCTCATAAAACTTACTAGCACTGTTGCTTGTTATAAAAATGAATGAGGCAATGAGTGTTCTAAACAGAAAAGCAAAGTGTTTTCATGCACTTATAGCAATTTTTACAATTTAAGTATAGTTGAGGTACCTGGTCATTGATTCATACTTAGCCACAGAATTTTCCAAAGTTGTGCACTCATTTTTTTGAAGTTACAATCAAAATAACATCCTGGAATAACAGTCCCTGCTGGGCATAATTAACCACTTCCTGTCTCGTTTTCCCATAGCGTTTTTGCTCATACAGCTAAGGTAACATTTATCATACTGCAGTTACCTGAGTTGTAAATGAGCCACAGCCTCCTTATGTTAAATGTGGGATGAGTGTCTTCAGGACAAGGACATTGTTATATTCATCTCTCATCTCTCCAGCACCTAGCACTTTGCCTGGTACAGGATACGTTCTCAGGAATGTTTATTGGTGTGTTTCAGGTCATAAACATGCCCTCTAGTTGTATAGGCAGGAGGTAAGTGGGAATCCTTTGCTTCGTGAGTCAGCTGGGGGAATCGGAGAGGTTATGTAAGATGTTTAAGGGAAATGGTGAGCCAGGACTCAAATCCAGGCCTTCCACCACCCTGCCTCTGACAGAGGCTCCACCCACCCTCAGTAAAAAAAAGAAACAAAAGAAAAGAAAAGGAAAAAACCCAAACATGTAGAGAGCAAGTTCAAATGCTGTAGGTTTTGGTTATTTATTTTTCACTTGAATGATCTGGATTATCCATTTTGACAAAATTTATCTGATAACTGCTCTGTTCTGTCTTGCTGTGGCCTTACAAGGAAGTTTGTTTGGCCCAAGTGCTCTGTCCTCTAATCTGTGCTTAAACTCTCTGCCCACCTTCGTCCCGGGTCTTGATTCTACCACCCAGAGCTTGCTAAGATGATGGACATGTCTAGGGAATGCTTCCAATGACCCACTATTTGTTCAAATCACACGTAACCGTCATAAATTGTGCTTCTGAAATGACTGAGCAGTTAGACCACCTTTCCTGAGCCAGCTGAGCTTGACTGAGTCTCCCAACAGGCAGATTTCTGGACTAATAGATGTGACTTAAAGATATTGAGACACCTGCTTCCCTCCCATTTACTTGCTTCCTTTTCCATCCTAAAAAACAGGAAAGGTTACATTAGGAAAGCAGGAAGTTCAGTACCCACATGTCTTTTCTGTAATGCAGCTCTGGGCACATTTGATGTTCGTAGTCCTTTAGAAAAAACAGTGTGACATGTTCCACGGGGCTTTCTTCAAGTCATTTTTCCTCTCTGAGGTTTAGTTTCTTCTTCTTTAAAAATAGGAAGTTGAACCCGGTAATCCCCACGGTCACTTCTAACACCGTGATTCTGTGGTTATTTGTGTTGGTTTATTCAGCTGAACAAATTGGAAGGTGAAAAATACAAGTGATAATTTAACTCTGCAATATATGCAACAGAAATTCTTAAGGCTATGTGTGTCATCCCGTGCGTTATCTAACAACCACGTTGAGCCCTCTGTTAATGCTATTCTCTGTAAATTTCTATAGTAATCCTTTCTTACTTGTAAAACTAAATTTACTATATTAAAGGAAAAGGTTTGTAGCATTTCTTATTCCTTGTGATGAGGGCAGTGGTAGAAAAGTATGCAATCTACAAAATGTACTAAATGTTTAGAATATTAGGGTTTAATAATCAAGGTTCCAAGACCTATAGTAAAGCATTTTATTCTCACCATTGAGTACATTTCACAGCTGAGCAACTCTTGCATCAAAGTGTTCCTCGAGATTCAGCCAGCAATTTGCCTTTTCAACTTCTCTCTGGCTCCTCATTTTGCTCTTTTTTCCCACTTCTTTAGCTCCACACAGCCTCCTGTAACATCCCTCACATATGTCAAACATGCCAGTAGTACGCTGTCATTCCCTCATCCTCCACCCCCTGTCCCACAGAGGCAGGAGTATAGTGTATGTGTATCTCTCATGGACTCTCTGACTACCATGTGGAACCTAAATACCATGAATATATAGGTGTTCAAAAGCCTATTTAAATCTTTTGGGAAATAAAGTAGCATATTGGTGATTTTATATATCCCATCCCATAGTGTGTGGTTGGGGCGGGAACTGGTAAGTAGTTGTCCTGTTTTGTGACGTGGGCACTGTAGGGAAAATGGTAAGTGCAGGATGACAATAATGCCATTACTTACTGGCAAAATCACAGAGATCACTAAGCTCCCAGGACGTTTGGATTCCCACAGCAACAAGTGATGTGCGCTGTTCGTATTATTCATTCAGAACCCATACTTTTTCTGATGCACATGGAGGACTGAAAAATAAGGATGTAGTGTACAGATAGGCTTTCCTGGTGTTATCAGGCATGTATGCATGCGATATTTTTGGTAGAATTCAGTGGATGGAACTTAAGCTGGTACTGGGTTGGGGGGGCTGGGAAAGGATGCCATCTGTGCCCATGATGACAAACACCATCATGGAGACTTCATTCGGGGTCCCTTTTATATATTTAGTAGAGCAGATTTTCCATTTCACACTTTCTAGATATATTTGTATTGCACAGATGTCAGGAAAATATCATGTGTGTGAAAGAAAAAAAAAAAGATCAAATTTCACATCCATGGCCAGGGATTGTAATTCAATCATTTTGTCCTTAAATTGACATCTATTTAATTTGTACCAATATTCCTTGCTTTTGTTTTCAGAGTTTAAGTCAGAGCAGTTTGAGAAACAGAAATCTCAGTCCTACCCGTTGTTAAAATTCAGAGATTCAGATTAAGGGGGAAAAAGACGGGAAGAATAGAACTAAGCATGTGAGACCTTGCTTCAGCGCCGTCACTAGCAGAGCTGATGGAACTCACCAGCAATTAATTCCTCATCTTCCTTCCTGTAACACACGGGCCACCTGAAAAATCTACAGTCAAAAGATTTTTATTCTCAAAAGGACTTCTTTTTTTCTTCACCATTTATTCATTCCTTTTACCATCAAAACTTAAAACTACTCAATTGAATTTTTTTCCTCTATTTCAACCACAAGTTATTTTTGTGGAAATGAGCTTTTTGAAATTGAGAAAAAATAGTTTTGAGGGATTTGACAGTTTTATTTCCCCCTCCCCCCTCCCCCGTGTGCACGATCAGACACAGGCCCTGCATGGAAAGGGATTGACGACAGCAAGGAAATAATTGGCGTACAAATGTCCTGCAGCACAATATCATGTCATTTAGCATGCACGAACTCCTCCCCGACCCTACATCCCCCTGCAATGGATTTTCTGTTCCCTTTTATAGAATATGCCTCAAAAAAGTTGCCTCACTGGCTTTCTGCACTTTCTCCATCTCAGCCTCTGAAGACACATTTTATTGTGTAATGTTTGATTTACACAAACAATACATTTAATGTATATGTAACTTATGAAGCAAAATAAAACGAACGCCCGCCATGCAGCCAGAGACCAGAGTATCACGGGTCCATTTGAGGCCGCCATTGTGTTCCTGCCTCCTGAACCTCCACCCAGAATCAGGCTCCTGTTCCTGTCACTTGCCTCCACTGGCCTCATTATGGTCCCCAGTGATCTCTACTTCGTGAAGCACGAAGGCCAGTTCTCTGCCACAGTTTTTTGCTGATCTCAGCAGCATATGCTTTATGGACAACTCTCTCTCTCTCCTGAGCCCCTTGCTTCTTCCAGGACACCAGATTCCCCTGGTTTTCCTGCTGCCTCCCTGGATCTTCTTTCCCAGGGTCTTTGGATGCCCCCGAATGTATACCTCCCCTGACCTCTGTGGAACTTTGACCTCTAAATGAAGGGACTTCGCAGGGCTTGGCACTTCTGACCTATATTCCTCCCCTCCATCTCAACACTGTCT